GGAGCACCCTGGTGTGCGTAGAGGGTGTTTCGATTTTTGCCAGATTCAGGCAGCGGCAAGGAAAAGAGAGAGACATTTTGTTCCAGATCTTTCTTAATGCAGCATGCAGTTTTAGGTTAATCTCTGATTGTCCGAAAGAAAAGAGTTTGATGAATTCACGTAGTTGCGGGGTATCTTAAGCTTCGTTCCCCGAAGCTAGCATTTCGTCTGTGCTCTCGTCTATTCTGTTGTTATGCATTTCTCTTTGGGGCTGTTTAACAAACTGTTTAGCAGGTTATTCCTATGTCCATTTCCATCTCCATTGGCACTCGAATTCGCATTGCGGTCTCCAGCAGCAGTCGCTAGCTGGCAGCGCAGCGCCATGGCTGCCAGTTGAATGTTGTACCTTGAACTTGATCGGCAGCGGCGGCTGCGGCAGCGGCAGCACTAGGAGCAGCTTAAGCCGCAGCGGCAGCGCACATTCAACTCTCAGCGCAGCAGAGCCGACAGCAGAGGGCCAACCAGTTTACAGCAGCAACAGCTAACAGCAACATGTTTGTAATTGCCTGGAATCCAAAGAAACAGCAACAGCAACAGCAACATTTCCATATCCATATCCCATGTTTGCTGGAAGTCAGATTATGCAAAAATTGGCGACAGGAAATGTTGTGGTTTCCCAGAAAGCTGGGAAACAGAAGCATGCAGCATTCCAACAAGCTGGCTGCAAGTGAGAGGTGGAGGCTGTGTGTGTGTGTGTGTGCAACAAAATGGTTGCATGCCACTCGCTTGTGAGTAAAAGAAAAGTGGCTGGCATTTTAAATTTTTCTTCTTTTTTTTGTTTGTCGATTGCCCCCCCAGTAGAGTTTTATAATAGAGATGGAGATTTCACTTTTAAGCGGGAGACAATACCCCATACCCCTCTGCCCAGAGCCGTCTCCAAGGCCCAAGAAACACGTGCAACGAAAAGTCAATGCAGCATAAGACAAGAAAGATGCAAAGGTACCCTCTCCCATGGTGGCCGAGAGATACCCTAAAAAAGTAATTTCAAGGGAAGCTTTCAGATCTAGAAAACAGTCATCATTGGAACAGTAGATATCGAAGGATTATTGAGACCTTTGATAGCCCCCCCACACAATTATAAAGTTCCGAATGAAAAGGCTATCTCCTGAACACAGAGATACTATGACGATCCCCCAGAATGACCAGAGAAGAGGTATACCCTTTCCAAATTCATTACCGAGGCGGCAACTCTCCCCCATTGGGTCCAAAGGGTGTACGACTATGTAAAGTTGTGTATTCGTGCTAATCAGATACCATCAAGCCTACAAATGAGCTTACAGATCTAGCGATCACGATTATCTGCCACTGTAATACTTAGAGTCCGAGTCGGAGACAGCGTAGAAGACGAAGACGAAGGGTATGCATAACAAATGCAAGTTACGAAATCTTTGAATCGATGGGAGATCGTGATTGAAATATGGAAGCGGCATGAAAATCGGCTCCTGATCGCTAAACCCCCGACCTCCGCTCACTCGATCCCTGGTGATCGCCTAACCCGATTACATACTAAGTGACTACGCGACTTTTCATGTCATGTCCACTCTTCCACTGCACTGCACTCCACTCCACTCACCCCCACTCTACGAAACTTTCAATTGCCATTACAGACACGTTTCGGATCGGATCGTACGTACATTGTAGATCGCTTGGAATTGGAAGACAGCCAGAGGAACGACCAAGCGACGACCCACATACGTAGATCCCATCCCCAGAGCGAGAGAGAGACATGAGCTCGGCAATTGTGGGAGCCGCCTCGGCGATCGGCGGAGCGGTGACGGCGGCCACCAGCAACAGCTGGTTCATCCCCATGCTGATGGCGGCGGTGGCCTATTTTCAGTACGAGGAGATCATGGATCCCGAATCGAAGCCCAGCGATGTCAGCGGCGACGAGATACTCGATCACTATGACTTCATAGTGATAGGAGCCGGGTCGGCAGGGGCCGTGGTGGCCAACCGTCTCACGGAGGTGGAGAACTGGAATGTCCTGCTCCTGGAGGCGGGCGGCGACGAGACGGAGCTAACGGACGTCCCCCTAATGGCCGGCTATTTGCAGCTATCGAAGATCGACTGGCAGTACAAGACGGAACCATCGGGCACTTCCTGTCTGGGTAAGCGGACAGATTGGCTCCAGATTACGAACTCAAGAGACTATAAGCTCGTCTCATTTATCCCTTAGCCATGCAGGGCGGACGTTGCAACTGGCCCCGAGGCAAGGTGCTCGGCGGCAGCTCCGTGCTGAACTACATGCTGTATCTGCGGGGATCGAAGCACGACTACGACAACTGGGAGGCGATGGGCAACCCGAGCTGGTCCTATCGCGACGCCCTGTACTACTTCAAGAAGTCGGAGGACAACACCAATCAGTATTTGGCCAATACGCCGTACCATGCCACCGGCGGGTATCTGACAGTGGGCGAGGCGCCGTACCACACGCCGCTGGCGGCCAGCTTTGTGGAGGCCGGCGTGGAGATGGGATACGAGAACAGGGACCTCAATGGAGAGAAGATGACCGGGTTCATGATTGCCCAGGGCACGACGAGGCGCGGTTCTCGCTGCTCCACCTCGAAGGCGTTTCTGCGCCCCGCCCGGCTGCGCCCCAATCTACACATCTCGATGAACTCGCACGTGACCCGCATCATGATCGATCCGGTGAGCAAGCTGGCCTTCGGCGTCGAGTTCGTCAAGGACCAGAAGCTCTTCCACGTGCGGGCCACCAAGGAGGTGGTGCTCTCCGGCGGCTCCGTCAACAGTCCCCAGCTGCTGATGCTGAGCGGTGTGGGTCCGCGCAAGGAGCTGGCCAAGCACCGCATACCGCTCATCAAGGAGCTGAGTGTCGGCGAGAACCTGCAGGATCACATCGGACTGGGCGGCCTCACCTTCCTGGTCAACCAGCCCGTGTCCATTGTGGAGAACCGCTTCCACACCATGTCCACGGTGCTGCAGTACGCCGTCTTTGGCCAGGGACCTCTCACCATCCTCGGCGGCGTCGAGGGGCTGGCCTACGTGAACACCAAATACGCGAACAGCACGCTCGACTGGCCGGACATCGAGTTCCACTTTGTGTCGGGGTCGACCAACTCGGATGGCGGCTCACAGCTGCGCAAGGCCCACGGACTGACGGAGGCCTTCTACCGGTCCGTGTTCGAGCCGATCAACAATCGGGATGCCTGGAGCATCATTCCCATGCTGCTGCGGCCCCGGAGCGTGGGCAGCATCCGGCTGCGCAGCGGGAACCCCTTCGACTACCCGTACATATTCCCCAACTATCTGACGGACGAGTTCGACATGAAGACGCTGATCGAGGGCGTCAAGATCGCCGTGGCCCTGTCCCGGACCAAGGCTATGCAGCGTTTCGGGTCCCGGCTCTCCAGCATCCGCTGGCCGGGATGCGAGCAGGTGCCGCTCTTCACCGACGCCTTCTGGGAGTGCATGGTGCGGCGCTACACCTCGACCATCTACCATCCCGTGGGCACCTGCAAAATGGGGCCCTACTGGGACAAGGATGCTGTCGTCGATGCCAAGCTGAGGGTCTACGGCATCCGGGGACTGCGCGTCATCGATGCCAGCATTATGCCCAAGCTGGTGTCCGCCAACACGAACGCACCGGTCATTATGATCGCCGAGAAGGGCAGTGACATGATCAAGGAGTTTTGGATCAAGAACACCATCGTCTAAGTCTTAGGTTCGAACTATTCCCCCCAGTGAGTGAGTGTCTGGATGAACCTGAATGTGCCCCTGAATGTGAATGAATCTGTGTCTGAATGGACTTACGCGTGAGTGTGTGAGTGTGTGAATGTGCGAATGTGCGAATGTTTAAGTTGTATAGCTTCTTAGTCTGATTGACCCTATCCAAAATTATATTTATTGACATCTCCTCTTATCCTGACATACATGGAATTTTTTTTTGTATTGTATTTTTTAGGGAAACGCCTGTATTTATTTTAATTTAATGTACGATTAAACGATTCAAATGAATATGATAATATAATATTAAGAGTTCACTTTTGCTTTTATCCAAAACTGGTTATCTTCATTGTAAAGGGTGGCTAATGAGTGAAAGTAATCTTCAGCATGGGAGCAGCAGTTTAATTATCGTTCGATTAAGAGATAGATGTGCAGACCGATAATTTGAAGGTGTTAAACACCAGATTGCCGAATCTGGTTCAGATCTATTTAAATGAAAGAACGATCGTTTCAAAATTGATCTATTCGATCTGTTGTCTTTTTTTAGCTCCTTTCCGTGAGCTGTTATAGCCTTTTTACACTATCGATATCGGTATAGACGCAATGCCGCAGTATGGCCGTTAACACTGGCAGACGCAGATCGAAGAGTTATCTTTTACTCCTGAGAAAAGCTGATTTAAATATGTGTCTGATGATGAGGAGTGCAACAATCAAATGATCGAAAGAGACTTGATGCTCGTATTTATTTATTCTTTTCAGTCACTTCTGTGTAGAGCTCTTCATCACACCACAAACACCATCGATGTTCCCCTCCCGTATATCCAGCACAAAAATATCTTAGCTTAAGGATCAGACTCAGACAGAATTTTGACCTACAAATAATCGAAAAGATCGTGATTGTTGGCCACCACTAGGCCCCTATCCCCTATCCCACTGAGCGACCAGCTGACTGGAGTTCATTCACAGCGCCACCTGTGGGACGGGAATGCGTCACAGCCACGCCGTAAATATACGCGGAATGTACATATCATATGTACAGCCGTATGTATAGCCGTAGAGTGCGGGTGTGTGTGGGGGAGCTACGCTATAAATATTTATGGCTGTTTATGGCGGGCAAACAGAAAGTAACGTGAAATATGAAATAATACCGATGTGTATAATATATATCTGCGGGATGTTGTTAACTTTTTATCGGTGGACAGCATTCCGTTCCGTTCCGTTTTGTGGCCGGAGAGGCGACCTGGCACGCAGCGACTGCCAAAGCCGTACAGTCCGTCATGGGCGATCAGCGTGTACACAAACCCCCAGCGAAGCTGGGAACCTCCGGGCCGAAGGTGCTTCTGCCACTGCTGCTGCTGGCGGCGGCAGCTCCCTCCTCGTGGGGTCTCTTTACGGTGGAGAGCAATGGCCTGGGTGTAGCTTTGATGGAGTCTGTGGCCGGAGCCCTGAACGCCTCCAGCCTGGCCCTGGCCAACGACACGGCCTGGCCGCCGCAGCACCATCCGCCGGCGGAGCAGGAGGAGATCGAGTCGTACGACTACATTGTGGTGGGAGCAGGCAGTGCCGGCTCCATTGTGGCCAGTCGTCTCAGTGAGTCGTCGCCCCATGTGCGGGTCCTGCTGCTGGAGGCGGGCCAGCTGCCGCCCCTCGAGTCGGAGATCTTCTCGCTGAGTCCCGCGATGCATCACGACGAGCGGTACATGTACCTGGACGAGGCCGAGCCGAGTCCCAGCTGCTGTCTGGCTATGGAGCCGCCGCATGGGTGCTCCTGGTGGCACGGCCGCATGATGGGCGGAACAGGGGCCCTGAACGGGAACATCTTTGTGCCCGGTAGCCAGGCCAACTTCAACGGATGGCGGCGACGGTTGAATCTGCGCGGCTGGGACTGGCCCCAGGTGCAGCTCGCCTACCGCCAGCTGCAGCGGCGCCTGCAGCTCAGCTACTTCCAGGTGGATCCAATCAATCTACGGCTCTCCAGCCTGATCTATGCGGCTGCCTCAGAGCTGGGCGTGCCGCGAATGCAGCAGCCTCTGGTGGCCGGCACGAGCCTAGGCTACACCCATCACGTGCCCGTGACCCTCAATGCGGGAAGGAGGGCCAGCAGTGGGCGCCTGTACCTGGCCAACCCGCAGGACAGTCGGAGACCAAATCTGAAAGTGATCAGAGGCGCCACAGTCCAGCGGGTGCTGCTGGACGAGGCCGAGGGTGGCAGACGGGCCAAGGGCGTCGTCTACTTCCTGGATGGCCCAGACAGAGGCGAACGCACCGCCAAGGTCCAGCGTGAGGTAATCGTGAGCGGAGGAGCCCTCAACTCTGCCAAGCTCCTGCTGCTATCCGGCATCGGACCAGCAGAACAGCTGCGTCCGTTGGGAATCACGCCCCTGAGGGAGCTGCCCGTGGGCGAGAATCTCCACGATCATGGGATGCTGCCGCTCTACCTCCGCTTCACCCGAAACTGTGCCATCAACAGCACCCAGGAGGCCGGGCGCAGCGCCTACTCCGCCGCATCTGTGGCGGAGTATCTCCTGAACGGGCAGAGGGGACCTCTGGCCAACAGCTTCTCCATGATGGGGTTCATCAACTCCAGTGCCCCCGGGTCGATCAAGGGCGAGCCCGACCTCCAGCTGGTGGCCCACACGCTGATGGCGCGCGGCGGCTCGGGCAGCTTTGGGTATCTGGGATTCCGGCCGGAGCTGGTCGAGGCCCAGCTGGAGGTGCTGCGGGAGTCGGATATGCTGCAGATCATGGGCTCCCTGCTCAGGCCGCTCTCCCGGAGCGTGGTCCGGCTGCGCAGTGCAGATCCCTGGCAGGCCCCGCTCATCGAGAGCCACTACGGCGAGGAGTCCGAGGACCAGGCCACTCTGCTCCGCTACGTGCGCTACGTCCAGAGGATGGCGCGAACCAAGTCCTTCCGCCGATGCGGCCTCCAGCTCTGGCTGCCCCCGATAGCCGCGTGCGACCAACTGGCCGGCGACTCGGACTCGGACGAGTACTGGCTGTGCTATATCCGACACTTCTACGTGGGCTCTTGGCACTCGGTCGGCTCCTGTCGCATGGCTGCGGCCGGGGATCCGCGGGGCGTCGTCGATGAGCGGCTGAGGGTGCACGGGGTGCGAGGCCTGCGCGTGGTGGACGCCAGCATCATGCCCGAGATCACGGCAGGCCACACGAATGCCCCGACGATGATGATCGGGGAGCAGGGCGCTCGCATGATCATCGAGGATCAGCAGGCCAACGAGGTGATCGCATAAATGATCTTTCCATCGATCCATCCATCTCACAGCCATTCAAAGCACGTTAAACTGTAGCTAACCGAGTAACGAAATAAAAGTACACTTACAGACAAATATAGGTTTAAACTATCTAAAAAGCATCAATATCCCTAACTTAAGACCCCGGAAAACAGCCCTGAAAAATGCATACCAACAGATTTGCCTCCATTCTGTTCTATGCCACTTTTCTCCTAGTGTACAGTAATTTTTTGCTGCTTCCCCGATGGGGCATATCTCGGTCATATGCCAGATCCTGCCATTTCGTATTAGGATCTTATCTTTTCAAAGAAAAGACCTGCTTTGTTGAACGATATCAGAGATCGGCTGTGGGAGATTACAAAGGAAAAGACTCATAGCCGAAGGCCGCTTCGGCTGGCAGTTCTCACTTTCGTTCGCTCCGTTCGGGTCCAGCAGCCTGGGACTGAAGGGTGATTTGAGAGAGTGATCGAATGTGATCCATTCAAAGTTGACTTGATCGGAGTGCATATGAGTAATAGTTTTAGTGGAATTCTCTATACCATACTATACCATATATTATGTTTGATTTCTGCCTCAAGAATGAAGTTAAAGAGGGAGAGAAAAGTGCAGAGCCAAGTAAATTTTCCACCAATTGAAAATATAATTATACATCTTCATACATACAGTTATGCAGATATACCTACATATATGGAGATATGTGCTTATCGTTCTTTGGCTGCCTTTTTGCTTCGGTCTTTGTTTTGATCAGCCCATGTGTTTGGAGTGCTGCCGGCGCCGTATCTTATCGGGGTAGCGAGCAATCTTCCAGATACTTAAAGATTTTAGTGGAGCTAGAGGCGGCAACCCCAACCCCAACCCCAACCCCAACCTAGTCTCTGTAGGTTAGAGGTTTTATTCGACAGATCTTTCAGAGCCCCAACATGACCTTCGCTTTGAACGCTCTGATTTCCTGCTGGACAGTGTCTGTGTCTTTCCAACTGGGAGTGCAGAAGTCTTCCACTTTGGCCAATGGTCAATGCACTCGCTCAAGCCAAAGACAAAGCGAAAGCCAAAGCCAAAGCCACAGCATGTGGGGGATCAGCAGTTTCCGGCAAGTGCTGTGTCAGCGAGACACAGGCACAGAGCCAGAGCCAGAGCCAGAGCCACAGCCAGAGGGCAGGCCACCAACTGTTCCGTGGGGGGGATCAGTAAAGCTTGAACCATGACGGCGATCAACACGTTCGTGACCATGTGGCGGTTCCTGCTGACCCTGGGGCCCTCGGCCATGGTCATACTGTTGCTGAACAAGGGCATCCTGGAGCAGAGGCCGGACATTGTGGACGAGCCGCACCGCGTGCGCTCCATTCGCATCGAGGATCTGCGCGACTCGTACGACTTCATCGTGGTGGGCGGCGGCTCGGCGGGGTGTGTGCTGGCCGCCCGCCTCTCCGAGAATCCCCATTGGAGCGTGCTGCTCCTGGAGGCTGGCGGCGACGAGCCGCTGCTGATCGATCTGCCGCAGATGTATCCGGTGTTCCAGCGCAGCCCCTGGGACTGGAAGTACCAGACGGAGCCCTCGGACCGCTACTGCCTGGCCATGGAGGACGGGCGCTGCTTCTGGCCGCGCGGCAAGGTGCTGGGGGGCTGCAGCTCCATCAACGCCATGATGTACGTGCGCGGCAACCGGCGCGACTACGACCACTGGGCGGAGCTCGGCAATCCCGGCTGGGAGTACGCCAATGTCCTGCACTACTTCCGCAAGATGGAGGACATGCGGGTGCCGGGCTACGAGCACAGTCCCTACCACGGCCACGGCGGACCCATCTCCGTGGAGCGCTACCGCTTCCCCTCGCCCCTGCTGGAGATCTTCATGCGGTCCGCCCAGCAGCTGGGGCTGGCCCATCCCGACGGGGACTTCAACGGCCGCACCCAGACCGGCTTTGCCCCGCCCCACGGCACTCTGCGGGACGGGCTCCGGTGCAGCGCCAACAAGGGCTACATGCGGCGCAGCTGGCAGCGCCCCAACCTGGACATTGTGCTGAAGGCCTTCGTGGAGCGGCTGATCATCGAGCCGCAGTCCCGCCGGGCGGTCGGGGTCCTCTTCGAGTACGGCCTGGCGAAGCACACGGTGCGGGCCACTCGGGAGGTCATACTCTCCGCCGGATCCCTGGCCAGCCCCCAGCTGCTGATGGTGAGCGGCGTGGGGCCCAGGGAGCAGCTCCAGCCGCTGGGCATCGAGGTGGTGCAGCACCTGCCAGGCGTGGGGGGCAACCTGCAGGATCACATCTCCACCTCGGGCGCCATCTACACCTTCGACAGCCACCAGGAGCGGCACCTCTCGTTCATTGTGCCGGAGATGCTCACCGAGGAGTCCGTGGACGCCTTCCTGCGGGGCGCCGACAGCTTCTTCTACGCGATGCCCGTCAACGAGGTCATGGGCTTCGTGAGCACCCGCTACCAGGACGTCCGCCTCGACTGGCCCGACGTCCAGCTCTTCATGGGCAGCTACGGCTATGGGGCCGACGGCGGCATGGTGGGGCGCCGTGGAGCCGCCATCACGCTGGAGAACTATGCGGAGGCCTTCGAGCCGCTGCTCTACCAGGACTCGTTCGTCATTGCGCCCCTGCTGATGCGTCCCCGGTCGCGCGGCTTCGTCCAGCTGCGCTCCGCCGACGTCCGCGTCCATCCCCGCATCCACGCCAACTACTACGACGATCCCCACGACATGGCCGTCATGGTGGAGGGCCTCAAGATGGCCCACCGCCTCACCCAGACCCCCGCCATGGCGGCCCTGAACGCCACCATGAACATCTACGAGTGGCGCAACTGTCCCGAGGTGGAGTACCTCAGCGACGCCTTCTGGGAGTGCCTGGCCCGGTTCTACTCGCAGACCATCTACCATCCCGTCGGCACCTGCAAGATGGCCCCCGCCTCAGATCCCTCGGGCGTTGTGGATCCCCGCCTGCGGGTGCGCGGCCTCCGGGGCCTGCGTGTGATCGATGCCAGCATCATGCCCACCATTCCCACCGGCAACACCAATGCCCCCACTCTCATGCTGGCCGAACGGGGTGCGGACATCATCAAGGAGGACTGGCGGCACTACACCAATGGTGGGTGGTAGGCAGGTGCAGGGTCCAAGCCAAGTTTATCAATAAAAAACCTGGTCCAAAACGATCTTTTCAGAATCCAGAACATCTCTCTAGAACCCTACAACTCTAGAGCTCTAGAATTTGCTATGACTAAGGCGTTTTCCTAGAGACTCTCCGGAGAGTGACAGCTCTCAGGCCTGTGATCATCCATCCATAAATCATTGAGAGCTCTGGTTGGTGGCTGGCATTCTCCCCGATTGATCTTGAGGCAGCAGAGATTCGTGGGAATGGGTCTGCTGAATCTGCTAATCGTACCAATTGTCACTGGAATTTAATTGACATTTCCCAGCATTTAGCGGCCCCAAGTGCTGCCTGCTGCCTGCTACCTGCTGCCGATGTAATTTATGAGCGGACACTGAACCAAATGGCAAACGGCTTACAGAGGCTTACGAGTTTTACCAGTTTTTCTCGGGGCCTCAGTGGGCCATGGCTTGGGTGGCTCGCTGGCTCGCTGGCTTGCTGGCTTGCTGGCAGAAAAGGTTTTGTGGCGAGACTGGGCTTTCGTGGTTGGCCGCTGGCAGATCGCGGGTCAGTTCACGTCCGCCACTGAGCAGACGAGGAGGTTCTACAGTTTCCGCTCAAGATGAGGAGCCACCAAAGAATGGGCGTACTGGTCATAGCCCTGCTGTTGCCTCTATGCCTGGCCCGGCCGCAGGAGTTCTTCTTCCAGGCGGACACAGCAGCGGCAACGGGCACCGAGGCGGAACCGAGACCTCTGCCGTTGAACGATCCCTCGGGTGAGTGCTGGCTTCAGCCCCAACAACAACAGCAACAACTAATAATCGATAATAATCCTTGCAGATCTCAGTGCTGGCCTCAATCTGGTGCCCGTTAGCAGTCTGATTGCGGCAGCGGCGAGTGCCGTGCTCCCGGCCCCCGTGCAGTTCATACGGACAGCCATGAACAGTGGCCTCTGACCCCCGCTACGGCTTCAATTTAGCTATAAATTTAATCACGTGTAGGTGTTGTTTTTAAGTGTTACTCGTACCCTTTTTGCTTTGTTTGTTTAATAAGCTTATAAACTTGTTTTGTCAGACACAGCCCCCTCTCGGTGGAGCGATAAAAGCGTGCAATCAAAGGCAGAGCCTCAAATGTTGTTTGTTTTAAAGAATGCTCTCTGGTTTCTTGCTTCGAATACCCTTTACAGAAGATACACTCATTAATGCCAGGCGTGTGACCCCAAAGACTCCTCCAAACCGCTTTCTTTCGAGGAAGAAAACATACACTTTGAAGTTTTGAAAACGTATTTCTTTGCCTTTGAAAGGGTATCCGAGTCGTTGGCTTGTGGCAGAGAGTCTTTGCCTCTTACATTGTTGGGCCACGACACGTGCTCTCGGTCTCGCTCTCGCTCTCGCTGCCACTGTTATCAGATGTCTGGTGGCACTTCGGGGGACGTACAGTCCGGACTGCGTTCGGTGTGGCACTCGCTTCTGGAAGCCCAATGAGGGGCCTGCTGTGTCAACGTCCTCGGCGAGGAGTGCTCACTCCCTCTCAGAGGCTTATCGCGGATCGCCCTATATAAGCGGATCGCCAGCACCGACTGCCACTCAGATATACGTCAGATGGCGCACGCAGCTAGTACCAGTCCCAGTCCCAGTCCTAATCTCAATCTCAGCGAGGCCTTCGCCTCCGCGGGCCAGTGTGCGGCCCCGGCCATTGGGCTCTTTGGCGGAATGGTCAGCATGCTGCTGCAGGCCCTGCTCTCGGCCCAGTGCCAGGTCTCGCCCCCTAGCCAGTGGCCGCCCGACTACGGGGGCGATCTGGGCGAGCCCTACGACTTCGTGGTGATTGGGGGCGGCTCTGCCGGCTCCGTGGTGGCCAGTCGCCTCAGCGAGAATCCCGACTGGCGGGTGCTGGTCCTGGAGGCCGGCGGCGATCCGCCCGTGGAGTCTGAGGTGAGTCGAACACTCAATCCAATCGATCAAGCGGTTCATCTCCGTTCCTCGACAGCCACCGGCCCTGTTCTTTGGCCTGCAGCACACGGAATTCATTTGGAACTACTTCGCGGAGCCCAGCACGCTGGCCAGTCGCGGCCTGAAGGATGGACGCGCCTACTGGCCGCGTGGCCGGATGCTGGGCGGATCGGGCTCGGCCAATGCGATGCTCTACGTGCGGGGCAATCGGCGCGACTACGACGGATGGGCGGCCCTGGGGAACGACGGCTGGAGCTACGACGAGGTGCTGCCCTACTTTGAGCGCTCGGTGAGGCCCCAGGGAAATGAAAGCCATCCGAAGGGCTACGTGACGCTGAGTCCGTTCGAGCGGCAGGACGACGACATCCACCAGATGATCCTGGCGGGCGGCCTGGAGCTGGGCGTCCCCAATGTGGCCGCGTTCGCGGAGGGCTCGGAGACGGGCTACGGCCATGTGCCCGGCACGGTGCGGCAGGGGCAGCGCATGAGCACGGCCAAGGGCTACCTGGGAGCGGTGGCCGGGACGCGGCCCAATCTGCAGGTCGTGAAGCACGCTCTGGTCCAGCAGCTGCACTTCCAGGGCGATCTGCTGCAGGGCGTGACCTTCGAGCGGCAGGGCCGCCTGCACCGCGTCGAGGTGGCCAAGGAGGCGGTGCTCTCGGCGGGCAGCATTGACTCCCCCGCCCTGCTGCTGCGCTCCGGGATCGGTCCCCGCCAGCAGCTCGAGGAGCTGGGCATTCCCCTGCAGTGGCACCTGCCAGGCGTGGGCAAAAACCTGCAGGACCACCTGGTCGTGCCGCTGTTCCTGCGCCTCAACGAGGGCCAGACCGAGGCGGCCACTGAGCAGGAGATCCTGGACAGCGTCTACGACTACCTGGTCCATCGCCGGGGGCCCCTGGCCACCCACAGCACGGCCTCGCTGGTCGGCTTTGTCAACACGAACGGCAGCAGCATATACCCCGATGTGGAGTACCATCACCTGTTCTTCCGGCGCGGCCGCCACGACATGCTGGAGACCTTGCTGCGGGGCCTGTCCTACCAGGAGCAGTACCAGCAGCATCTCCAGGGCCTGCTGAGTGGCTCCGATCTGCTCTGCGTGTTCGTGCTGCTCTCCCATCCGAAGGCCAAGGGCGAGCTGCGCCTGCGAAGCCCCGATCCCGCCGTGCCGCCGCTCCTCGTCAGCAACTACCTGTCGGAGCGCGAGGATGTGGCCACCGTCCTGCGGGGCATCCGCCACATGGAGTCCCTCGAGCGCACCGCGTCCTTCAGGGCCCATCGGGCCGAGGTGGCCCACATCCCCGTCGCGGAGTGCGACTCCCGGCACGAGTACCGCAGCGACGGCTACTGGGGCTGCTATGCCAGCCACTTCACCGTCACCTGCTACCACCAGACGGGCACCGTCAAGATGGGCCCCCCCGCCGACGCCCAGTCCTGCGTCAGTCCCCGGCTGCAGCTCCACGGAGCGCGCAACCTGCGCGTGGCCGATGCCAGCGTCATGCCCAACGTGGTCAGCGCCAACACGAATGCCGCCACGGTGATGATTGGCGAACGGGCCGCGGACTTTATCCGCGAGGATTGGCACCAGGCAGGGGTGCAGCCACAACAGCATCAACCACACATGCACGCGGATGGTTTGTAGTCAAGTCATGCCCCACTCCGATGAGCGGGCTGACGGAAGAGGCGCCTCCGTCCAGCGGCCGTCTGCCATCTGGGGGAGGGGAGGGGGGGGATAGTTTAAGTTATTTAAATGCCGTACGAGTGCGAGTGCGAATAAAGGTCAGAGCTCCCTTCTGCAAACCCAATTCAAGATGGATTTCGATGGATTATCGATAGACGGAGGGCAATCGCAATCGCAGTCGTTTCTTTGGTGCTCACTGATTGACTGACTGATGGGGATTGAATCAGCTGAGAGGCCCAGGGGAGCCGAGTCGAGTCGAGTCGAGTCGAGTCGAGTCGAGTCGAGCCGAGCAGAGCAGAGCAGAGCAGAGCCACCCTCCGAAAGGACATAAAAATAGGCAAGCCGGAACGGGAGCGGGATGGAGCTGGAGCTCTGGTACGTCAGTCAATACTAATACGGCTCTAATAATACGAGAAATGGGCCAGAGGCAAGGCGTGCGTCATGCCACATGTGTCAGTTGCAAGTTCTGCCTTGAGCCGAAATCACTTCGAAAATGAGTGGCACGCAAGGCGGTTGTGCGCCTGAGGCGCAGACACAGACACAGACACAGACACGGACCCAGACACGGACCCAGGCTCCCGTCAGGGAGCACATGTTCAAGCGTCCGCCACCCTATCCCCAGCCACAGCAGCCCCAGATACCCGAACACCTCGAGTACCAGTACACTCTGCGGGAGTACGGACTGCCACTATGGCCCCTGCAGCGGACGCCCCACGCGAGCCATCCGCCGCCGCCCCCCCTCCCGCCGCAGACCCCCAAGGAGGAGGAGCTCAGCGCGGACCTCAGTCGGCAGGAGGCGCGGAGACTCCAAAGGGGCCAGCTGCAGCAGAAAATCAAAATCAAACAAATCCGAATGCTGCAGCGTCGCATCCAGAAGAACACCATGGAAATCGAGTCCCTGCAGAACCAAATGAAGAGCCTGGAGCTGCTGATGGCCAGACCGCCCCAGATGCAGCCCCAACTGCAGCCGCGGCCGCGGCCCCATCCCCAGCTCCGGAAGCAGCAGGCCTTCGACTTGTACCGACCCTACATATAGCACCATTATGCACCCTTAATTAGCTAGAACTAAGTATACGAATATTCTCAATAAAACATATCTGGGACCTAATTCAAAAACAAGAAACACACACAACATTTTTGTATATTTTATGGGCATTTTTCCTCGGAGTGCAATGGCACCCCCCGCGTTTTCCTATGAAAAATCTTTATAACTGAAGGTGCCTCAAAAGTAACAGTACACGACATAATTGTATTTGTTTCTGCCTGTGATCATTTATTCTAAAAAACCAAATTTATCTAAAAAAAAAAAAATAAATAAAAATAAACTTAAAAAATAAAAGAAAAATAAATAAAATTACTTCGGAAAGTAAGAGATGACACTCACATATTTTAGTCAAT